ATCATGAGAGAGATGCAAATTAAAACCACAATGAGATACCACCTCACACCTGTCAGAATGGCTGTCGTCAATAAACAAACAGCAGGTGTTGGTGAGGATCTGGAGAAAAGGGAACCCTCGTGCACTGTTGGTGGGAATATAGATTGGTGCAGCCACCGCAGAAAGCAGTATGGAGGGTCCTCAAAAAAGTAAAAATGGACTTGCCTTATGACCCAGAGATTCTACTTCTGGGTGTATATTCAAAGAAACCCAAAACACTAATTCCAAAGAATATACGCACCCCTATGTTCGTTTCAGTGTTATTTACAATAGCCAAGATATATAGAAGCAACCCAAGTGCCCAATTGGATAAAGAAATGGTGGTACATATATACAATGGAATATTGCTTGGCCATAAAAAAGAATGAAATATTACCAGCATGGATGGACCTAGAGGGTATTATGCTAAGTGAAGTAAGACAGACAAAGACAAATAGCAAGTGATTTCACTCCTATGTGGAATCTAAAAAACAAGCTAAACAAAACAGAAACGGACTCACAGATACAGTGAACAAGCTGAGGGTTGCCAGAGGGGAGGGGCGGGGGGCTGGGTGAAAAAAGTGAAGGGAGTAAGAAGTTACAGGATAGTTATGGGAATGTAAAGGGCAGCATAGGGAATATAGTCAATAATATTGTACTAACTGTGTATGGGGCCAGGTCAGAGGGAGCACTTCGTGAGTTGTGTAGTGTCCAACCACTATGCTGTACACCTGAAACAAATATAAAATAAAAATACATAAATTGTTAAGAAATTCTCTGAAAACCAGTAGCTTGAAAGTTATGATGTTAAAAGAATAAATAAGGTGGCAATACGTGAGATGCCACCATCAAGCTCTACTTGATTTTCTATTAACTGCACAAACAGAGTTTGCAGCCCCAGAGCCTGGTAGGAATTCGTGAAGAAAGCTGGATGCAAGAACTTCCCTGGGAGTACACTAGTTGTGGCAAATAGGAGAGCATTTATCCCATCCAAAGGCAGTCAAATTCCTTTTTTTTTTTTTT